TCCAAACGTGCTCCGATAAGCAGACATAATTCCAAACGAAAGGATTCAGGCATCCTTTAAAGACGCGCCTCTATGCGTCTTGCACAAATAGTAAGCTCGTTTCGGTCTCCATCTTAAAAAAGTCCAGGTATCATATTCTGCTTCTGGTCTCGCTGAGTATGGAGATTATGATGGGCAACTTCGTACATCCTTGACCCGTACTAAGTAACGGGTCAGACAATCCCGGTACAAAATACCGTTACTCAATAACCGTTACTTTGAAAAGTACCGAAAAACCGATTTGGAGTACCGAGTAACGTTTTGCTGTACCGAGTACCCTAGTAACGTTTACTATACCGGATACCCTTAACGATTGGAGTACGAAATACGCAGCTGACGATTTTGCCACTGAAGGGACTCTGCCATTCCAACGTGTTTCATTTTATCGTACGAGTAGATTGTGATATCAAAACAGTCAACTAAGGAGTTCGAGTAGCATACCATTCATGGACACAAGGAGCACATATCACAATTTCGCAAATACAACCAGATACTACTGTCCTCGTACCAAACGAAGTGAGCTGACCCTCATCGAACCTCCTAACGAATACCTAGAAAGACTATTTTTCGTACCAAGAACGAATCCGAAAGCCCCGTTCGGTCAGAAGTAATGATCCGGAAAAGTACCCGTTCGGTACAGAATCACGAATACCAAGTATCCGTTCGTACGAATAACAATACCGAAAAGTACCGATTTCGTATGAAGTAACGGGTACTTGATGTACCTAATTTCATACCCGTTAAAAATCCCGGTTCGGTAGTACCGACTCACACTAATGCGATTAACTTCCGCCTCCCATCTTCCTATTAACCATCTAGGGACTTTGACATCAGACAGCAGCTCCAGTTTTTTTTATCCATTCATGGACTTCTTTTCTAAATATTCAGTTTTCTAAAAATAGTTGTCAATTACTGATTTATTCTTTTCTGAATCTATGACTTCTTCGTCCGACAAATCGGTGCTTTTTTGGTCATGACGATTCTGATTCTAACAGCCATGCTGGGCCCTCCCACCATTTCGACTGCAAAAACTGTTTAACCGAACAGCATGTAGAAGGAAGACCAGCTGCATTTAACTCCGAAGCTATGTGCCGCCAATTCTCTATTTTTGAAAGTGTTCTGATTTCTTGGACACGATTCCAAAGCAGTAAAGGAGCCCCGCTGCTTGCCCCCGAATGGATGTGTCGCCAATCTTCTATTTTGAAAGTGTTCTGATTTCTTGGACACGATTCCAAACTAAAGTTACCATCGTGCGTCTCGCTGAATCAAGGACAAAGCAGTTGTTGAATCGGTCCGAAAGAATGTTCTTAAATTTGTCATGTTCAAATCTGAAATTACCACACTTTCCAAGCGTGCTCCGATTAAGCAGGACGATAATTCCAAACGAAGGATTCATGCATCCTTTAAAGACGCAACTCTAGTGCGTCTTGCACAAAATTTAGGTAAAGCTCATTTTCGGTCTTCCATCTTAAAAAAGTACAGGTAGCATATTCATGCTTTCTGGTATCGCTGACGATATGGAGATTAGTGATGGGCAACTTCGGTACATCCTTGTACCCGGTACAAAATACCCGTTACTTTGAAAAGTAACGAAATACCGGAGTACCCTAGTAACGGTTTACTATACCGGAGTACCCTAGTAACGATTTGGAGTACCGAAGTACCCTAGTAACGATTTGGAGTACCAAAGTACCCTAGTAAAGATTTGGAGTACCGAAATATACGCAGCTAACGATTTTGCGCACTGAAGGAACTCTGCCACGTCACCACGTGTTTGATTTTATCTGTACGGAGTAGATTGTTATATCAGAAAACATGTCAACTACGGAAGTGTCTGAGGAGCAGACCATTCATGGAAACTAGGAGCGCATATCACAATTTCGCAAATACAGCCAGATACTACTGTCCTCGTACCAAAACCGAAGTGAGCTGACTTGGATGTACCGATTTTCAGTACCCGTTACAAAATACCCGGTTCGGTAGTACCGACTCATCACTAATGGAGATTAACTTCCTCCTCAACCATCTTTCAATATTAAACCATCTAGGGACTTTGACATCAGACAGCAGCTCCAGTTCTTTTATCCATTCATGGACTTCTTTTCTAAATATTCAGGCAATTTTTTTATCCCAATTTAATCGTAATTTCCAGCACTCTTGCAATATCAATTTTGGGGATAGGGTAACGGGCTACTGGGTCAATTAATTTATGTGCGCAAGAAAGGAGTGTTCGTTTACTCGCGATAATCTCAGCTTTCTTTAGTAACTCAGTTTTACAGGAAAAACTACCCCTACAATTGAAAATGTAATGAAAAGATCAAACACTTCATCACAATTCTGCATGGTAAAATTCGTCATTTCAAAACTGCAGTACTACCTCAATTCGCTTTCCCATGAACAGATGCGGTACGTTTCACGAATCCATCTACTGAAATTATACTCCTTCATATTTATCACCTGTAGACTTCATTTTTCGTCATTTCTGACAAATAGAAATAGTGCACTTAAAGTTCCAGTTATCCAGAGTGGTTCTAAGTGATTCTGATTAAAACTACTAGCTCCTGAAATTTATTGAGCCAGGTGCTAGGAAAGAAGCGAATTTGTTAATTAATACCCTGAATTTAAATGGTGTTTGTTATTTTCACGAGAGGCGGAGGTAACTCTACTTCGAGCTGAAATCTACAGTAATTATTATTATTATTATTTTACTGTTATGTTACTTCAGCATTCTGAGATTGTAGCAAATATCCGGATGAATATTCATCTGTCAAGTTTAAAAGTTAGAGCAATTTTAGTGCAAGGAAAAAAGTACAGCCATTTGGTTTTATAATATTTTATTTTTATTCACAAAATATTTTAAAATCCTTTCAAATTTACAATTAAATTAATTACTAGAACTGTAACACATTTCTTTAGTACAAATAACAGAGATACAAATATAATTTTTAGAAGTCAAATTTTTTAAAAAATTTGAAATTTTACAATTTCATTAAATTAGATGAATTTACATCTGAATTCATTTTTTACAAATTTAATACATGGTTTTACTATAAATAAAAGATATAAAAACAAACAGAAATATTTTTAGATGAAATCTTTAAAAAAAAAAAGAAAAAGAAAAATATTAATTGTTGCGACAATTTAAAATCAGAATTTAATTCAATGGCAATAGGCATACAGAAACTGCTCTTTGTTCTTTGATATGAAGCAGTTATTAAAAAGGAAAAGAAAAATAAACTTTCAGTAAAATGCCATTTAATAAAAAGCTCTTAAATTATCACTACATTTAACTGATCCTTTGATAGTACGATAAAAATATATGTGCATACAAAACAAGGGATAAAGACAATACATATAACTTCAAAACTTTTTTTCCAACATACAATGCAAGCAGGGAGGAAAAAAATACACATTTGGATTTAAAATAACTTCACGTGCTAACTTTTACATGTTTTTTGGGAGTTAAAAAATTCAACGTTTTACTCTTTGAGTTTTACGATTTTACATGCTAAATTTATGCTTTAAATATTTCGCACTTTTTATAAAACTACCACAAATGGGCAATTTAGTTTGAATTTAAAGCAGGTATTACTGACAGGCATCCCAGTTACCGTTTGAATCAATTCTCTTTACTTCATCGATATCTTTCATTTTTTGGAGTATGAATTTTTTTGTTGTATGTCGTCAAGTTTAGAGATTTACCAACATTTTGGAGATTTTAAGACACATTCTAGTATAAAATTTTTTTTTGAAGATTCCTAAATTTTCGAATTTTTAAGAAGTGTAATAATGTTATAACTCTACGACTAAATTAACAATAGTGTGCAAACTTTTTTTTTAAAAATAATGTTGTATTAAAACCTTTTAATTTTCAGTTTCTGTTACATTTTAGAATATCTTCACCTTTCTTTACCTTCCATTTTGGCGATTTTTGAACACCTTCATTCTGAAATTTAAGCAATTTAATGAATGTTATAAAGTTAGAATGCTTCGAAACATTCTCTGTAAAATTCAGTCTAGCTTTTTTATGAAGTTGTTTATAAATCTTCTGATTTTCAATTTTTTTAAGTTTGCAAGTAATGTAAAACTATTGGTTGATTTGTAAACTTTCAAATGTACATTTAATGCACCGTTTTTTGATATTATTTACATATATGTTTTTGTACTCATAGTTATTCCCACAAATATGACTAATCTGTCAACACAAAAGCTAATATACTTTAATAAAACGAAAAATAAAAATTTTTTGAAGTATTGATTTCCATAAAAAACAACAAAAACGTCACATTTTTTAACAAAATTTATACAACTTTTAAGAAGAAAACTATGCTTTATTACTAAATGAGACAGAAAAATCATTTAACTCATTCATCTTTTCCACATAATCACCAGAAATACACCGGTTTATGCTGCCACATCTTGTACAGAATGGTAAAAGTTACACACTAATTTCATTTTAATGTTATCATGGACTAATAGAGAAAACATATTTACCTTTCAACATCATTATCAGTATCATGCAAAATAATAAGGATTTGCAGGTAGAGATTTTTTAAAAAATCATAATCTGCCCTGAAACATCCAGCATCTTGTCAGTAACATTGTAATAAAGCTCATGATATCATCTAATAGTCCAGTTTAATTTTACTGATTAAAATTTGCTCAAGACATACAAGATTCTTTGTGAATAATTTTCAAAAAAAAAAAAAAAAAAAAAAAAAAAAAAAAAAAAAATTCAAAACAACAACAAAAAAGGGGGGACAAGATTGCTAGCAGGACTATTTAAAACAATATTTTGATCTCATATTTTATTAGCAGGGATATTCTGTAGTTTTGACAATCAAAATTATTTTCACAGACCTCAAAAGATATTGATTATAACCAGCACTTTCACATTTAAGTATAGAAGATTTCCATTAAAAGCTACATACTGAAAAAGAGCAGAATAATAATAATAACAATTTTTTTTTTTTTTTTTTTTTTTTTTAAGAACAACACTTTAAATTAAGAAATTTAGTATTTTCAATCATCAAAGTCATTTCACAGTCCTAATTTTAATACTCTTTTGAAAATACTGAATGTTTTTGCATCTATATAGATAAAAAATTAAAGTGATATATTAAAGGAAAAAGTCAAACTTAAAATTACACATTTTCAACACACACTTTAACTTTTAACCAAAAATATCACATTCATCAAAAGAATAAAATAAAGCAATAATTATTATTATATAATAAATATTATAACATCTATGTACAGAGCTCAATAAAGTGGTATTCTAAAAGGAATAAATAAAGAATAATATATCTTAAACACATAACACTTACTGCAGATTTAGAATCTTTAAATAAAAATTTCTTATTTGGAAAATTCATTTTTTAAAATTCAAAATGGTTTTACTATCCTTAAAACAAACAGAATAAAAATATGTATTCTAAGATATACTCTATGTACAAGAATTCTTTCACTAAAAGTGATACACACACAAAAAAATTACTACTCATAATAAACTTAAAAGAATATATTTGTACTATATTCAAGAACTTTTTTAAACAAAAAATTTTCTTAACTAAAAATTCATTATTATTATTATTATTATTTTGTTCAAAACTGTTTTACAGTCATCAATTATGTATCATAACAAGTACTTTTACATTTATGTACAGACATCCTTTCATTAAAAGTTATATATTCAAAGTATAAATAATAATCTCAAAAATACACATTTCTAATCATTTTTAAAATAATAATTTTCTAAACTGGGATGTTAATATATTAAAAAAGCAAAATTCTTTTTAAATCCCTCAGAAAGAATACGACAAAGTACATAAAATATTTTTAGAGGAAAATAACTTTGTGCATTTAACAGTAAACAAATACAGAAGTTAAATGTAAAAATAAGCATAAATAAGCATTTATTTATCCCTGATTGCAATTTCATCGGAAATCAGGTCAACTGTTTAATTTATATTATAGCGAATGAGGTAGAAGTTGTAGTGCTATACAAGGAAGTCCTCTCCCTTCTTGGACAAACTGATTATAAAATAAGTTAACTAATTTTACATGTTCATGAAATTGTTTCCTGTTTCCTTATTATCATAAACTACCTCTGTTTATCTATATAAAATTTTCTGTCTTACACATTTGTTTATTTATGAACTGTTCATATTTTATGCAATTCATTTTTGCACCCTTCTTTCCCCTTTGATATAAGAACTTCACATTTATAATTTAAATTTATTAACAGTTAGCTTTAATTTCTTTCTTATGTTCTTTGTCTCATCATAATACTCACTCAGACCAAAGGTTTAAAGAAATGACATCCTAGTTTTAAATTATGCACAAGTGGCATAATTTAAAACTAAGATGTAAATTTGACTGTGAACTAATTGCAACTTGTAACATAATACTGCTGTATTGCTGTAGAAATTGTTCATGCTGTGCATACAGCTACTGGTAGTTTGGTGCAGTTAGATAAGTGTTAGAAAGTAATCTACTTTCAGGTTCTGACCTGATATAAATTGTACCTCTGTAGCGATTTTATTGTTATAGTCATGTTTTGATTTAAGCAGCTGTTACTGTAAACTGTCAAAAAGTCACACAGTTTAGTTTGTTTCTATTATCTTATTTCGATTATTCATAGATCATGGCTAAGAATATTTCATGTCTTTTACCTGAAGTCTTTTTTTTTTTTTTTTTTCCTTTTTCTTTTTTTTCACAGTGGTACTAGTTAAACAGTACCAAGTGTAACTTTCCCTTATGAAGGTTATATATTTAATATTGTGAAATACATTGCTGTTTTTTGTGGGTATCCTTTTATCATCATTGGCATTGTATACAAGAAATTTTCCAAATTCCAATTCCTCTAACCTTTAGTCTTCAAACTAAGCACACTTCCAGTTTCTATTATTCATCTGCCATTCCCCTTCAAACTATGCTTTCACCATTCTCAAATGTTTCAAGCAGTATGTTGTTCAGTTTCCATTAAAACTGTCAATAAAATCAAATTCTCTTTAATACAAAATAAAACACCAGGCCTACATTCAAGAAACATTTATAAAAGTTATTTTGAATATAATTTTGTATATATGAGATAAATTCCCAGACCTTTAAAATTCTGGATGAGTGAACATATTTCTGAAGTTAGATAGAAAGAAGTAATAGAGTCCATCATAGCACTCCTCTATTGGAATAATAAACATAACTTTTCAATTTTCAGAGGCCCCTCAATTTGGCCCTGAATCAAATATACATAGCATACACATAATATATATATATATTATGTGTATGCATATATATCATGTGTATGCTAATTTGGTCTTGGAGCTGGATTTCTTTGAAACTTTCACAATTTTCTTGTGTATCAATTTTGCGAATGATGTAAATTTTAGTACATTTCTGTTGGAAGTTTAGAAAAAACAATTATTAACTTCCACATAGTACAACTTCAGCATAATACCAATACTTTGAAAGAGTTGAACTCATTCCAATGAAAGTGCAGTCAGCAATAATTTTATGTTTGTTTTTGTTAATTTTTATGCTGAACTTCCTCACTTGTTTACTTTATATACAAGGTATTTAAAAAAATGTGACCGTAGGAACTGTTTTCATAAAATACTAATACAAGACATATACTTCCTATAACACAACTACAATGAAACTTCCCAAAATGATCATTTCTCTAAACTGCCACACCTAAAAGTGACCAATATTTCTAAGAATATAATTAAACAATTGTACTGGACATACTGATAAACAATTGTACTGGACATATAAGTGACCATATCCACAGTTAATGACATTCATCTGGAATTTTGGGTCATCATCTTAGAAAAGTTTCACTGTACAAAGATTTTTTAAAATAAGATGCATATGTTTATGAAAACCATCTGTACAATAGGGGGAATGAATTTATAAATTAAAATCTTTTTTATGACATATACCCAGAGTCAAAATTCCAATTACTAAACTAATCTTCATGCTTGAATAAAATCAAAATACTTCTTGATATGCAAATTTTGGAAAAGTATTCGAGAAGAAATTCATTGACTGGAGTCATTTTTCTATGCTCATTACAAATTTAAAGTCTACACTTTTGAAAGCAAGTTCAAGAAGTTCTTACAAAAAACTGTTGCTGTATTTGATGATTAATAATAATAATAATTCCATCCTGAATATGGTTTCTTCATTAGATAAACAACATTCATCATTAAATTTGTTGCTATAGCTTCTAATATGGAATGAAAAGTTTGTTAACCATACTTCCGAGAAATTTTGCATATAAAAGTGTGCAACTTTCCCTATTTTGTTTTAATTATATTAAAGATTAAATTTATTTCTACAGAAGAGACTTTATCCACAGTGTTGATACTAGTTTCCTACAACTCTACATTTTGTTTAAAAACTTTGTCATTGGAAGTATGTCTGGGGGATCAATATTTAGGCAAAACATTAAAAAAAGGCTACACCCATTTTTTAAACCCTTGTATATTATAGCATATATATATATCCACATTTATATACAGAAATTCTTTCATTAAAACTGAAATCACATTTTTTTTTCTGCACATTTCTTTGATTCTAATGCATGCCTCCTTAATTTCAGTGCTACCAAAAGAAAACAGATTTTTGTTTTTAAGAAAATAAACTAGATGCAATAAATGCTAAAATATATTTAACAAATATGATTTAATAACTGGCTTCCATTCAATAGTAACAACAGTATTCCTACTTACATTAATAATTTAAAAAAAGATTCTTGAGGATATTCGGCAATTGAAAAATCTGAGATTCTAAGATACCATTGATTTTAAGGTGCACCTGATTCTGAGCATTACTTATGCAGGAAGATTAAGACACATGTTAGAATCAAAGAAATGAGGAATTAAAAAATACTTTTAAAAGCATTCAGTTGAAAACTTTATGACTTAAAACGTTTGATTTGAGAAAGGTAAATAATATACATATGCCTTGTCACAAGTTTTTTCAGTAATTTCATCACAGTCAATAGGATTTAATTTCTTATCTGTGCAGACATACATAGAAGTAAGTACAGGACTGGAATAACCCTAAAAGTAAAGAAAACAAGTATTTGGTAAAACTGTTAAAGAATAATTTTGAAAATTTTAAATACACACACACACACACAAACACAAAAAAAAAAAAAAAAAAAAAAAAAAAAAAACATACCTTATGATTTTTGCAGAATAGTTTTACTGTTTTGTTGAGATGAAGAGTAATTGAATTTTCAATAAGTTTCAGCTATTAAAAAACATATATTGTCACACATTTTGTAAGAATATAATTATACAATATTTTTCAAAAATGCTTTTTGTTATACATATAAGTTCCAGGTTTTATAGAGAATTCATAATTGAAAGTTAGAAAATTTATTCTTTTTAAAATCAGAAGTTTTTAACAAAGATTTTAGGGCAAAATACATATTTTTTCTGCTTTAATGATGAAAAATGAGTTCAAAAAGAGAAACTACATACCTATTTATAGACTGCTTCCAGTAATTATTTATTAGTTGAATGTAAAATAATTTTGTGGTGTTTAAAAACAAAGAATCAATGTGAAACAAGAAAGTTGTCAAATATGGCTTCTCTTTAAATGCCATATTTGAGAACTTAATATGCTTAACATGCAACTTATTTATATAATTCAAATATGGCTTTTTCTTTACAGTTAAGAGCAGAATTTTATCTCGTAAAATGTTTACAAGTACATAGGAAAATTATTTCTTAAAGATATTTTCGTATCTAAAAACTAAATCAGTTAAGTTTTAATATCACACAATACTTGTTCACAATTAATACGTTTAAACTGCTAATTACACACAAAAAACTATTCCTCATTCATAAGTGAAATTTCTGTACACGCAGAGAATTCCTAATACAAAATATACTTCATACATTTTGTTATTCTTAAATAAATTCACTTACATTTTTATTCAAGCAATATTTTAAAATTATTGCTTAATTTTTATGTTAAACACTTAAAAATGTCTACAAAATTCACCCAGTATAAAAATTTATACAATTGTAAAAGTGAATTAAAATTAATATTCAATTTACATTTAAATTAATTTCTGCATCTCTAATGAACTGAATTTCTTTTCCTTTGCAGCATTTCCCAATTAGATAAAATTCACATCCTGTAAGCATTTTTTGCATTGTACAGTCAAAAGTCGTTAATCCGGACTCGTCGGACTTCGGCGATTCCGGATTATAGATTATCAGTTTAAATCTCGTAAGATGGCATGCAGAAATTCTAAAATTAAAAATATGAAACTGTAATTTATGAAATAAAGAACAATTATGATCTAAAGGGTATCAAAATTTGCAAAAAGAAAAAGCTTAATATTTATTTGTTTACTTTATTAAACATTTCTTTCAATGTAAGTTGTTTAAGTTTTGCTTCGTTTCATGTGATAATATTTTCTCTTTAATTCTATTAAACAGACATAATTTCTTGTTTCAGTTACAAAGTTCCGCTGTTCAAGTCCCATAATTGCAGTGTCGAGAACACCGACTAATTTGTCAATCGAAATTTTTTCGTTTTCAATAACCTCTGTTACTTTCTTCGCTATCGAAAGCGAATTATAATGATGAGGAACTTGTTTTAAATCATATCAAAGACGGAGCATATCGAGATGAAATACTACATTTGGTAAGGAATTATAAACCAAATAAAATAAAAACATCTGCGCTGAAAATAAGGATAGTGCTGACAGATCAACTTCCAATTCATTACGCGCCCGCCGCGGCGATCTCCCCGCCGAGCAGCGTGAAATTGATAAACAGATTTCGGATTTCAAAACATACTACTTTCGCTTTAGATCCTTTACATATTAACAAATATATATCGAAAATTCTATTTGATATAATCGAAAGTTTAAGCTTACTTTTATAAAATTGCTCTTACAGTCTGCAAAAAATAATAAGCCGGATTCAATTCGAAAATTAAGGAACAACGCAATCATCAACATTAACTGAAATAGATAAATTAGATAATTTTAGCTTATATGTCCATTATACATAAAACGTGCACGCGAAAACGTATTCCGCACTTGCGCACACTCATATGCGCAGTCGTAAAAGGTCTTACGCGCACGCGTAAATGCCTATGCGCATGTGTCAACGCGGCGCATGCGCAGAAAGTTTTTAGTTTTGAGGTGCGGATTATAGATCATTCCGAATTATGGGTGTCCGAATTAACGACTTTTGACTGTATTTCACAGAAAGCAGAAGGTCTACCCATGCACTTCTGTCATTCAATTAGTTCTCAGAACCTGTTAAAGCACCTCATTTGATTTTTTATCTTAATTTTATGCTCCTGTGCTTATTTTGTATCTTTTTTTTTTTTTTTTTTTTTTTTTACATAATGACCGCTTAGTATATGTGCCTTAGGTTCTAAAAATTGAGTGAGAAAAATAAGAGTAAGAGAAAAGCTGTTAGCACTTCTTCTGAAGTTAAGAAAGATCTCGTTGCTAAGCATGAAAATGTTATATGTATATGACTGATGTCACCATTCTGTTCGTGATGTTTAAATTGACTATGTATGATTCTGAAAAACGAAAAAGATATCTAGGTAACTGGAGTGGCAAAAGGGATAGTGACACTGACCACTTGGAGATCAAAGACTATGGAAGAGATGGAAAAACTCTTCTTAGTTTGGATTAATGAAAAAAAGCTGACTGATTATGTAATTTCTATGATAATAATTTGTGAGAAACCAAGATTTTCTTCCAAGATTAAGTGAAAGGCATGCTTGATACTAGTGCTCAAAAGGAGGAGTTTGAAGCCAGGAGAATGTGGTTCAAGAACTTTAAGAAAAGGAATTTAATCCATATTGCTGTTATGCATGAATAGGATACTGGTTTTAATTCAGAAGCAGTATAAAAGTTTGTAAAAGAGTTTAAGGAATTAACAGACAAAACTATGTGTTGACCCATTGTTCAGTGGTGGTAAAATAGACTACTTTTGGAAAAAGATATTCAGGCGAATATACATCTCAAAGGAAGAAAAGTCATAAGCCATAAGTCAGTGAAATACCACTCTACTACAGGAATGTCAAACTAGCAGTTTGTAGGCTGCATGCAGTCCTTATTTTTCTGTTGCCATCTGTTCATCTCAATATATATATATATATATATAATTATGATATATAAATGAAAACTGGAATTTCATTGAACACTGAGGCATATAAAAACCTTGGTTGCTAAAAAGGACTCTCACGACAAACTTTCTACAAAAATACTTTCTCAAGAACGACTCTTGAGAAAAATTACAAAAATACTTTTTTAATGTTCACTTTGTAAGGATTATGTTAATTTTGTTAACAGTTAAAATTTTAAGTTAAAGTCCTTTTCTGTCAAATTCTTGCCTTCAACTTACTACTTCCGGCCAGAATGTAGTTTTTAAATCACGTCTGAATACTTAATGAGGAGAAGCAGTATTTAAACTGTGAAGTTCTTTGATCTGGGAGAGAGAGATTCCAGATTTCTAGATAGCACGCGTCTGCCTTTCTAGGCTACTCTCTCTTAAGCTATTATTTCGCCTGGTCGTACTTTAGGCCCTTAATAGCTCCGCAGGATATTAAACATTAAGGAGCCAACTCTGTTAGAATCTTGATAGCTTTGGCTATATCTCTTTAGTTTAGATTAGTTTGAGTTTAATTCTTAGTCTCTCTTAAGTTCAAGCCCAAGTGGCGGCTTTACTGCATTTCTCCAAGGCAGAGTTTGTTAAATCTTAGTTGAAATAATAAAGGGATAATTAACCCTTCGTATTTGTTGTTTCCTGTACACGAACTCAAGCGATTATTCGCTAACTAGTTCTTAGGATTCTTCATGTCAATGGGAACATATTATTAAAAAGTGAGAAACCCTACAACTTACATATGGAATTAACAGAATTTCATGCAACTTTACTCTAAAGCTGAAATTCATAAAGTGAGCTTCTCAATTTCACAAACACTTAATTGTATATTTCTCATAAGTTTGCATCATGCATGATTTCCATGTTCAGTAATGTATATCAGTATGAAAAACTTTTTTCTCTAAGGAAAAGGAATAAGTCCACAGGGATATCCAGCTTAATAGACAGTCATCTCACCTCTCTTCTGAAAATCACTAGTCTAAGACATGCCGCTCATGCTAGTGATCAGAAGGCTAGGCTCAGCAAAAAGATGCCACGTGTCAAGAAACAACATGCACTCATCATCTGCCATCTGGATTTCCTTACGCCTCTTCTATATTTTTTAAAAATATAATATTTTTATGTAGTTACTGAATTTTTCACTCACTAAATCATGAAAACGGCTCTTTTTTTTAAATATACCTCATACTGATGATTATTTGGCTCACATGAGATACTGAGTTCAACATGCCTGCCTAATTATTTTGCTGTATGCTAGAGAGGTATGCAGGATCAAAACTCTCCTTATGTACCGTTAGAATCTATGGGTCTTTAAGAAAACTACATGATTAAGAGCAAATTTAATACTAAGTGGAGATCAGATATGAAAACATGGACCACCATGCAGTTCTTTGCTGAAATGGATGTTTTCTCTTTCAGTAACGGATTAGCTGCAGTAGATAATTTTCTGATGAAGGCTCTTCTTGTCATGAACAAAGCTTTTGCACATCCTCCACGCTTAGAAGATGATTTCGTGGACAAATATAGTTCCAATGAGATAAAATATTTACCTCCCCCAATACCCCTCCACTTACCCAGCCTATGGGGCAGCAAGTAATTTCCATCTTCAAAAAATTATATCCCTGTGTTATACTGAAGGATGTTTGAAACTGCAAATGAAAATGGAGCTGGCTGTAAGGAAGGAAGGATCATTACTATATTTTCCATTATCTACAAATTATCAGGGAAGTATGGAAGTATCTTTGAGAACAAATGATTCTGAAAAACAGTCTTTGGCCTGAATTTGTTGCTGCAAGGGGGCTTCAAAGACTATGGAGAATCACCTGTTGCTTCTGGCAGGAAATCATAGAAATGGAGGTCAACGAGTGATCACAGGATTGAGCTGACAACAGAAGAGCTTTAGGTTTTCAACAAGTGATAGCAGAAAGAAGTCTCAGAGGAAACTTATTTCATGGGAAAAGGAGGAGATGCTGGAAACAATCCTGCTGCAGAAATCAAAGACCTTTTTACTATGTCATTAAAGACTTATGATAGCCACGGAGAAGTGACACTCTAATAGAGCTCTTGTTAATTTTAGAAAGCTCACAAATGTCAAACTATTTAGAATGTTGGTTCTCAAAAGGCACTATGACCAATGACTCCAAGCTCTCACTCTCTATACAAGTAGTACTTGGCAAAGGCATCAAAAGCCAAAGAATGCAGACACTAAATCCACCAGATGCAAGTTACCTGGTGTTATTAAGATGACTCATTTTTCAAGCAGAAATTCTCCTCTTCCTTCTGTTCTAGTTTTTACATATGCCAACATTCCTTTTTAAGGTAAATATAGGCTTTACTTTTTAACTTTATTAATTTACATTTTTATTTAATTATTATTATTTAAAATTTTTACTATAAAATCCAGGGTATTTATTATTAAAACTATTTTTAAATTACAATTCACAGGATCCAGGAATGGATTAATCCTATTTCTGTTATTTTAAAGGACTAAAATTACCTTGGAACTCAAGTGATTTGGAACTTGAATGGGGTTTTTGATGAATTAAGTTCAGATTCTGACTATCTCATTGTATTAACATCATCATTGGGCATGTTCATCAGTTAACCACCTTTAAAAAAAATCTGGAATGGTTGTTTAAGTACATGAAGTTCTACATTTCTGTGAAATACCATTAATATATACTTATTTCTGCATTAGCCACTGGTTTCTAAATACAAATAAACATGAAATCAGGTACAAATCATAAGCAATTAAAACTACTTATTAATCAAAAATATGAATTTAATATTGATTTACTACATTCAAGATAAGATCATTATGTCTTATGAGAAACATGAATTTAATACAGTCAAAAGTCGTTAATCCGGACTCGTCAGGACTACGGCGATTCCGGATTATAGATCATCAGTTTAAATCTGGTAAGATGGCATGCAGAAATTATAAAATTAAAATACCGTAATTTATGAAATAAACAACAATTATGATCTAAAGGGTATCAAAATTAAAAAAAAAAAAAAAAAAAAAAAAAAAAAAAAAAAAAAAAAGCTTAGTATTTATTTGTTTACTTTATTAAACATTTCTTTCAATGTAAGTTGTTTCAGTTGCTTCGTTTTTTATGTGATAATACATTCTCTTTAATTCTATAAACAGACATAATTTCTCGTTCAGTTACAAAGTTCCGCTGTTCAAGTCCTATAATTGCTGTGTCGAGAATACTGACTAATTTGTCAATCGAAAGTTTTTCGTTTTCAATAACCTCTGTCACTTTCTTCGCTATCGGAAGTGAATTATAATGACGAGGAATTTGATTTAAATCATATCAAAGACGGAGTACATTGAGATGAAATACTACATTTAGTAAGGAATTATAAGCCAAATAAAAACATCTGCCCTGAAGATAAGGATAGTGCTGACAGATCAACTTCCAATTCATTGCGTGCCGCGCCGTTAAAGATAAACAAATGTTAAAGTTTAGATAAACAAAGGATATGCCTTTATCCATTTTTTGCAGCAGTTCCAGTTTTTGTTTAATGGACTTCAAAACATACTTTCACTTTGTACATCCTTTACATATTAGTAAATGTATATTAGAAATTCTATTTGACATAATCGAAAGTTCAAGCTTACTTTTATAAAATTGCTCTAACAGTCTGCAAAAAATAATAAGCCGAATCCAATTCGAAGATTAAGGAACAACACAATCTGCAACATTACCTGAATTAGATAATTTTAGCTTAGCTTATACCGTCCGTTATACATTAAACGCACATTCGTAAACGTATTTTGCGCACGCGCACACACGTATTCGCAGCTGTAAAGGTCTTACGCGCATGAGTAAACCCGACGCATGCGCAGAAAGTTTGTAGCTTTGAGGTCCGGATTATGGGTGTCCGAATTAACGACTTTTGACTGTATTAGTTCATTTCTTGGAGATAACAAATGTTTCTTTTTTTACGTACATAAAACAAAAACAGCACACATTTCATCACTTTCTACGCAAATACATATGAAGTGCTAACAAACAAACAGTCCTACAGTACAAGCCCACTTAATCACACTTTGCAATCAAACTTGAATATAATTTTAAACTAACTTTATTTTGAATAATCAAATATTTATAAAATAACTGGTTACATTTTAACATGCAATTAATTTATGATGGAATAACATCATAGTGAACTTTCTCCCTCCTTTAGGATTTGCCATTGCTTTATTGAGCAATGGTTTTAAATACCTGATTTTACTTATCTATAATTTCTGCAGTTATTCAAATACAACAAAACACTCAAAGGCTATTTGCCTAAAGAAAGGGGGATTTGTGGACGTTAGAGACAGAAATTCACATTTCTCCCATTCGCGACTGCGCTGAGCAGAAAAGACGAACTATACAGTTCTGCGGATGGTTTCTGCTGAGAAGGAGACGAACAGAAAAAGGGTTATATTTCCGATTCTGATAATGTTGAAGTCTAAGCCTCTCTGCTATGCCTATCTGATGATGTTTGCCGATGCGACCAACCGCTGTGATTCTCTCAAGCATTTTGCAGAAACGTGATGTAAGGAGCTCTACTAAGGAATAGTTCAGTGGAAACAAGAATCTACTCAAGCATTCTGGATTATCTATCTACATTGCCAGATACCTGCCTATATGAAAAGAACTCTTAAGGAGGATCAATTCACATTGTACCAATCTAGTACATTTCGTACATTATCTATCATATAAGTTCATTAATGTGTCAAAGTCTGACACGTATGTTAATCTATGTTATTAAATCTTAAGGATAGAAGACCCTGATTAAATTTTACATTTAATTTTTCAACTTGGTGCAGTTTTATACTTCTATAGCAGAAAACCTTAGCTCTACACCCACCACTACGCATAACTCTCAAGATTCTTCAAAGAACACCAAATCTTTAAATACAACAGTGGAGAACTTTTTAAGGGAAACTGGCTTGTATTTATGTTACACATTGGAGGGTGGGGGTACAATGCAGCCAGCCCATTCACTTAGGCGTGAAACACAAGCCAATCTACCAATACTCACTGGTTCTAATCACTACGAAAAAATTATAAAATTATAAATTAAACTTATAAAATTATATTTAAAATTTATATATTTTTTATATACAAGCATATTAGTATTTTTTATATACAAGCATATTAGTATTTTTTATATACAAGCTTGACCCATCAGTAAGTCATGCCGGTCTGCTGAACAATCAAGCATGACCCAACAATGGGTCATGCCGCCCCATGGAACAGACAAGTATGACCTACCGGTGGGTCAGGCCGCCCCACAGAACAGACAGGTATGACCCTCTGGTGGGTCAGGCCAGCGTAAACATGTTAAAGCAATTATAAAAATCTTTCAAATTCATTTCAGTGATCATTTCAGTTTTAAAAAATGAATGATAAATAATCGGGGAGAATTAAGACAGAAATAATTTAACTTTGTACAAAAATTTGCTTTTTGTCCCTTACCAGATGGGGTCTTTTTCCATCAGGGCTCAATCCAGCTCTCCGAATGTACCTAAGATCCATTAATTAAAAAAATTATTACATTGCAAAAATAAAGTAAAAATTAAAAGTTAATATATAAAACATAAAAATATCATGATGAGGTTATATGTTAAGTTTCATTTGATCATATTTTTTAATATAATTAAACTGTACTCTCATGCTACATGATGTCTATTTACTTTTTCACCTGCCTTGTGATGGCAACTATTCATTTATTTGTTCTTCCATTTCTGCACCACATTGTACTATTTTTATACTACTCAAAATTTATACAAAAATGCATGTCATCTGTATATAGTAAATAATTCATCAAAAATATGTATGTGTGTATTCAACAACTGAGTTTCTGTTGTGATATATATAGAGTTTACACCTGTATTGCATTTTAGAACAAAAGCTTACTATATTACTCTAGTGAAAATTATTTATTCAATATAAAAACTGATAAATACCTAATAATAAATCTAACAAATGATTTCTTGTTTTTTTATGCTTACATTTATTATTTTAATTAATCACTAAATATGTAAACTTCAAGTAACTGAAAGAAAAACTATATCAGGTAACTAAAGAAGTTTAAAAAAGACAGTAATTTAAACAGGGTTGCCACTCAAACAGGAGAATGAAATTCCCTGACTTTTTCAGGTTTTCCAGGTATGTTTCGAGAAAATTCCAGTCTATCCGCGTAATGTACGTTGGCTGTGCTAAGAGGTAAATTAAATATGGTATTACTTGTACTGTGTAGCAAATTCACTTAATTATTCAATAAATCCCAGAGGACATTTATTCTTAATTATTCTTGGTACACTTTGTTTGATAATTTTGTTTACTTTTCCACTTAAAAAACTTAATAAAATTTAAGATATATACATTGGATAACAAACTGTACGTTTTATTTAATTATTACTCATGATCACCCCCAGTTCAACACGAGGCTAATCCGGTTCTTATAAATCACAACGCAAAGCTAAAAGTTAGGTTAGATTTTAGGTAAATTTAATTTGTGTGAGGTGTATTCTTAAAAGGCACCTTAACACTTGAAAAACACAAATATAATTATAATAGGTTGTTTTCTCCACTGAAGATTGAGATTAGAATCTGCCCAATCTGGAATAAAATAAGGCTTTTTTTGCAGACATTCTGCAGCTAAACGAAAGAAAGAAATCTATTTATGATATTTTTTTACTAAATTGAGGTATTTTTATATTTATTTCGCAGCATACATAAGGAAAAAATATGTGCATTAAATTTCGTGATGTCATCATACTGCTAGAATTAATTTCAGGATTCTGCCAGAGAAAATTTCCTGAAATTTGGAAATATTATTTACTAATGATACATAAATTAGAGGGAAGAAGCAACATTAAAATGATATGAATAACATAAAAATAAAGATAATTACTTAAAAATTTAATTAGAATAATCAACGATATTTTAGCGAATTAGTTATATTACATGGTTATCCTAGATGATTGATTACTATTTTTTTATTTTACTGCAAAATGACAAGGTATTTATTTAAAAAAAAAAAAAAAAAAAAAAAGATTTTGCGGTAAAATCCTAGTATACGATACGGCCTTCGCATGATTTTGAAAATTGTCGCCAAAGAAACGTTCTTTGACAAAAAAGAAAACCGCGAAAATCCGTTTTTAAATTATTGTGAAAAATCCAAGAAGAAACGTTTTATCAAAGAACGTTTTTTCTTGGATTTTTCGCAATAATTTTAAAAACGGATTTTCGTAGATTCCCCCCCCTCAAAATAACTAATCCATGAATTAATTTACTTGCGCCAAAAAATATTTTCTTTTCCTTGAGAGTTTAAAGACATTTTAAACGATATTCATTTTATGAACTCTTGATAACGTGACCTTCGAACTTCGACACCGGTTTCGAGCTTTGGCGACAGATATATCGCGCATGCACAGCTGTTTCCCGCTATGATGGAACCGAGCCACGTCTGTTGCAGAGAGGTTTTCCTTCTTTACAATACATATTTTTTTAATTCTAACCTTCATGGTATCGTATACTAGGATTAAACCCATTTTGTTTTATACGAGAACAGGTACTTTCATTAGTTCATGCACTGCACATGCGATTTTCGAGGTTACTTGAAACCAAAAGTTGCGGGAAACTTGCTTTGCCTTTCTAAAAAGACAATCAAATTGGAGCTGCAAAAAATTGGCTCTATGCCAGCTGTCCGAATGATACTCACGTGATACACAATTCGCCAAAAAAGTGATCTCTTCCGACGTCGGCACAAAACTCGCCTAAAAAATTTTGATTATGAAAAAATGAAAATCCTGACTTTTCCAGATTTTGACTAAAACACTTAAATTCTCTGACTTTTCCCTGAATTTTTTGGTCAATTTCCGAATTCCCTGACTTTTTCCGGTTTTCCAGGTAGCGTGGCAACCCTGTTTAAACAATGCTGTTAACAAAATTTTAATATTTTTAATGATAAGAAATAGATTGTATATGAGAATAAACACTTTTACATCAACATTAGGTTATAAACTTACATATATTATTATAATATCTCTAAAATGGAAAAAAAAATAGCATTATTAATACTCAATAATTCTTTACTACATAGTTTGAAACTTGCCATCATTATCACCAAATCAATGTTTGATAGCAACCTATCTTACAGCATGCTGGAACTCTCTGGCTAAAATGATTCTGTACTGCAGTCAACTTCCAATTAATTAGGAGCAGATTAATCAAAATAAATTATATTTATTCTAGTGGTATGATGGGAATATTACCATCACAGACAACTGGCATAAGAGAAAACTATATATGGAAAATACGAGCACAAAAAGGGGGAAAAAAAAATTGCATGGGATGATGATGCAACCATTTATAAATTTCTTTATTCTAGTGATGTTTATAACAGTAATCTTTTCCACTGTGTTTTTTTACTATCTTCAGATTGTGATTTTAAATTATTAACTATTATTATCTCAGTATTATCCTGATAAACTGGAAACTGACTATATTATGTTTCAGACAGAAATTTTAATTTCTGCTGGGGCAATATCATAGCCTATGTTCAGATCAGCTTTTCTTTCATATTTGAGTAAATACATTACAGTATTGAAATACAAAATATATTTCACGAATATAAGCAAATATGAATTATGTATACTTCGTTAATATTCTTTAAATCTCTTTTGAATCTTTAAAATATATATATAAAAAGAATACAATTCTTTTAATTTTAAAGAATATATATTTTTAATACATCATTGTAGCAACCCTGGATGCCATTCTGGAGAGAATTTATTTTCATATTTAGCATCTATCCACTCTAGAAATGATCATCTTTCCTTTACACCTATTTAATTAAAAAAGATTTGGGGAAGATTCAAAAACTTGAACTCTTAATATGTATTTTTAGTCAAATTAAAAAGAATAAACAAATCTCAAGACTCAAGAGTAAATTCCATCTGTATTTTATTAATAATCCGGGCAGATTTTTAAACTATATTTTTAAATCATTTTTCTACAAACATAGGACCACCAGCAGCTGAGCAGAAAAACCACTCAACAATGGTTGTTTGACCTGAATTCAGATCTTATTGAATAGGTTGACAGAATGATAGTTTTCTAGGTTTTGCCATATGTGATGAGAATGAGAGCTAGTTTTCCTTAAAAAAGTCCTCCAGAAGAACATCTTTTCCCTTAGGCAGACAGACCTTGTGTTATGCTTATATGAAGTATTTAAGATAACTAAGATTTGAAAAATTTAGAATTTTCTCATCCCTAATTTTACTAAAAAAACACTTGCTTTGATGAAGGTTTGTAAACAATGTCTCCCCAGAAAAATCACAGAAAGCACCACCAAGAAATTTCAATTTAAAATAGGATGTACGGTCAAATAAAGGATTTAAAATTTAAATGACAGGATGACGAATTCTTTATCAGTAAGTATATTCAGCAAATTCAGCCATTGCATTACCTATTACATAGCCCTCTGTTCTGCATAGAAAATGCAGTTAAATTTAATACATTAAAAAAAGAATAGTTATTTTAAATCAACTTAAATGAGACGCATAAACTGTGGTTGTAAAACAAGTGAAATGATGGAAAGAATATAGTATATGCATTTACTTTATCCTCAGTATCATATTCTGGCAACGATCCATTTACTTTTTTTCTTTTATATATTTTAATTTAATATTTTATTTTGAAAATGTTTGCATTTAATCGAAGCTAATTAAGTTTTTTTTTAACTCATTTACTTTCTTTTCATTTTATACATTGAAATTCAAAAATTTATTTTAATAGTTTTCCATATTTACATTAATTATTATTACTTTGTATGTTTCATTGACCACTCTTTAATATATTCTTACAAAATGCCATCCATTAGAGCTGTGGTACATTTTATTTTAACGTACTAGCTGCAACAACAAATTTCAGGATTCTAATCTCAGAAGCCAATCTGATTTAACCATATATAGTGACAACTATGATTTCTTGTATTTGGTGCCCTGGAGAATGCAAACTACGAGTTTTCTCGAATCAAGAATCATAAAAAAAGCCCTACAATACATTAATAATATAAAGCTTAAGAGCTTAATATTTAAGTCTTCTAAATGTTATGAAGTACCTGCTTTTATAACAGTACATCAAGGCATCACTTCTTGCAAAGAGGAATAGGTCCAAAGGTATGTTACCCTTGTTTCTCAACCAGCAGCCTCTTGAGAGGACTTTTAGCTTGCTGGTACGTTAAGTGCTCCCATGCCACAAATACACTGAATGCTTACCTGTAGATCTATCTTTGCTGGTTATTCAAACCTGAGCTTAAGGCTACAGTAGACAGGTTACTTACCACCATTCAAACAAGCAGCATTATTATACAACATATAATTAATTTATGCTACCTTAGAAAATATAAAATTTCAGATTTCTCTCTGAAAACATGCCACAAAATTGCTATCAAGGACCACAGAGTTGAATTTTAATTATTTGTTTCAAAACTGTAATGATAAATTAATATTACAT